CAAATATATGGTCAGCATTTTAGGAGCTCAGAAAAAGGAAAAACCCTTTTAAGCAAACAGGAAGCTTTTTGGAGAAGAAAGGAAAATAAAATCTGTTTTGTTGGTGTATATTCCCCTGAACATAGGAGGAAATCGGCAGAATTTGCCGGACTTATTTTCATGGGTGGACCTGGAAAGGGAATCCCTAGGTGGCACCCAAATGCTGGGGATACAAAGATGAATCAGGCACATTCCCAGCCACCCCTCAGCTCAGTCTAGAGTGGGCAAGACACAACTGCAAATCAGCATGGTAATTGCTGTAATAGAATCATGAGCTGGAGTGGCCCAAATAAAGGAGTGTTCAACTTTGTTTGAGGAGGGCACGTCAAAGAGAACTTCGCTGTCACTGTAGTTTCTGATCTTCCATGAGGACTTTATCTGCACGCAGTTCCCAGCCAGAGGGAGAGGCGCAAGCTCAAGCTTGCCAGAGACTTGCCAGTCACTATAGGGTGTTCTATTAGTCAGAGCCACAGGTGTTGTTTCAAACATGTTCTTTTTTTTTTTCTTTTAAGATTTTTATTGGGGAATTGGGGGATAGGAACAGAGATGGGGAATCGGGGGAAGGGGAACAGACAAGTTGCTGTCGTTTGTTCTTCAGTCTAGTTGTGGAGGACGTCGCTTCACTGGCCCAAGTTGACACCATCATTGCGCTCTTCCCGGGCGAGACAGATCAGTCGCCAGCTTCTGGACCACCACTCACTGCGGCTGCTGGCCGCTCATGCTGGCTGCTGGCTACACACCGTAGTTCTTTTGTTTTTTTAATGCTGGAGTTCAATCCAAGGACTACAAATGCTATGTGATTTCCTAGATCAAGTTTTCCATTTTACCATGAGCTCAGACACTTGCTTTAAATGGGATAATCTCTAATAAAATGATCTGTTCTTAGGTTTGGACCATAAATAGGCTGGGATACAATTAATTTTTGTAATTGGGACTAAATGTACTACTAGTGAACACTCAGTAGAAAAATATAAACATAAGTTAATATAAAAATATAAACATTTCCAGAAATTGCTTACAATAATGATTAGGTGTCTGACAGGAGCAGTTCCCTTAGCCCTGTCAAACTCAGAAGCAGAAAGAAAAACAACCTCAAAATAGATTGTCTTTTACAAGGTTTAGAGCCAGGAAGTAAAAGATGTATTGAGGACTTCTTTAAGGGTTTCCTGCCTCAGGACCTCACTACCCCCACTAACCTGAATACCTGTTGTCAAGTATATAAGTAACTTAGGGTTGTCAGTGTCACTTAATGTACTTGAAAACATAAAATCTAGAGCCAGATTCCCTGGGTTCGTATGAGGTCTGACAATTAAGTGCACAAACTCATCCTAGAAAAA